GACAGGATTCCCTAGCAAGCTCTCTCTCCTGCATCACTGCCCAACACTCTCCCCTTCCTTCCTCTCTATGCCCTTTGCTCCCCAGTAACTGGAAAGTACTTAACCTTTACCAACACTCTAGGCTATGGGCTTAAAATAAAATGAAACCTGTAGCCTGCTATTTCATCATGTTCAGCACTGTTGTATTACAGCCAATTCCTGTCTCCTGACTTCAAAATCTCCCACTCTGATTGTTTTGTCTTGCCTCTGTTTTTTGTTTGTTTGGTTTTTTTTAAACCAGACACCAGGGGAATGCAGAGAGGGGCCCCTCAAAGGCCTCTGGGCTCCAAAGGCTCCTAGTCATGCTTGAGGAGGAGTCTTTCTTTCTTTTCTTTCTTTCTTTCTTTCTTTCTTTCTTTACTATATCTTTATTGATTTCAGAGAGAGGAAAGGAGAGGAAGGGAGATAGAAACATCAATGATTAGAGAGTCATTGATCGGCTGCCTCCTGCACGCCCCTGGCTGGGGATCGAGCCCGCAACCCGGGCATGTGCCCTGACAGGGAATCAAACCCCAATCGCCTGGATCCTAGGTTGATGCTCAATTGCTGAGCCATGCCCGGCGGGCTTGCCTCTGTTTTTACTGGTAGTTGGGATGTGGGGGGAGGAACAGAGGAAGCAGGAAATAGGGAAGGAGCACCTTAACCTAGGAGCTTTGAGAGAAAGGGAGAGGGGAAAGGCCTCCCACACAGTGCGTATGATCTGGAGCCAAGGGGCTGTCAGTCTGAGGGCCGAGCGTGCGCAGGGGACACGCGCAGGAACATTTCGTGCCCTCCTTGATTTCTTTAGACCCTCACAGCTTTCCATCCACGGCACTGCCCAGGCTCTAGTTTCCTGGGCTGCAGCAGCTTACTTTCCACCCTCAGTCAAAGCACATTCTCCCTGTCAGCAGCCCACAGCGTGACACCGAGGATTCCAGCACCAGTGCCTCGCCATCACAAGTGCACAAGGACAGGGACATTGTGCCCGGCGCCCCACAGCCAGCACAACCCTGGCGGGAGGCAGCGCTGTGGGCGCTTACACGCTAGAACTCGGAGCCAGTGGGGGTTATGCAGACACCAGACCCAAAGCAGACGGGAACAGAACGGTCAATTCTTCACCCTCACAGTGACTGTGTGCCAGTCACAGCTCTAGGGATCTCCAGCTACTACTTCATTAACTCAGCACCACACCCTGCCGACCACCTTCACGTTAAAAAGTGTAACACAAGGCTCAGACAGATTAGGGAGCTATCCCAAGCTCCAGTTTCACCCTTGCTCTGTGGGGTGTCACCCAGCCTCTCCCCAGAGGACCGAGGGTCCCACAGAACGGGAGCTTAGAACGCCTGGGAGGGTGCCAGCTTCTGTAGCACCCTCAGGTAAAGAGAGGCAACCAGGGCCTGAGGAGCCAGGAAAATATTCACTTTCCACCATAGCCCGCTTCTCAGGGTACACAGCCGAAATAATTCACATCCGGGGAAGATGATAGCCTACCTGGTCAAGTTTGAGGAGGGGGTTTCCTCTTTAGGAAAGTCTGAGCAAACACCCTGCCTCGGTCTACTTCTGAGCGGTACAAGCACCAAGACACACCTCACTGGCGGTTGTTTTTCGCACCCACCGGAAAAAAAAATCGGCTACAATTTAGCTCAGCAGCACTTTCCACGCGGTAAGTCACTCTCAGAGACACCGATTAAGTGCTGTCGGAACAGGTTCCGGCTCAGCGTGGGGTAATCAGACAAACCTCCAGGTGCCTCGCCTCCGCCCCACACCCTCGGGGTCACATCCCCTCCTATACTGAATGAGAAATGGAGGGATGGGCTAGACAGAGAGGGGTGCAAAAGTGGGAACCCCCCCAAACTCAGCCAAAGAGCAGGCAAGAGGGCACAGGAGCAAATATCATCACAATGACAACAGAAACTGGACTTCTCCACGCCACTCATCGGACCCAGGGGCTGGAGAGTAAAATGATCGGCATGTCGTTGTGACAGACGCAGGCAAACACCAAACCCACTCCTGGGTCCTCCGTATTCACTCTACCTCTGATGAGCAATTTTGAAAACCCTCTGGGCTACAGGCACCATCCCCTTCAGGACCGAGAGACTCTAAGAGGCAGCACAGTGGAAGGGGGTTAGGACCTGAACCTGAATCCAGCTCTGCCTCCTGCTTCCTCCTCTGTGGTCCTGGTAAAGGGTCCCTATCCTCCCACATAAGAGAACCTCGCCTGCCTCGGAGGGTTGTTGCAACAAAAATGTGACTTCACGTCCAGCACTTACTGAACCAGGCGTGTCGTAGGAGCTCAGTGGATGGTTATTTCAGAGAAGGGAAAACAAGCCAGAGGAAGCCAATGCTGGCCTGAAGCGTTTAATTCAACGTGAGCAGAGATGGGATACGAGTAAGTCGCTGCAGGCTGCAAAACCAAGACTCTCGCACTTCCCCCTTACATTTAAACCAACTCCTTCCCCTCTATATGTATTTGCAGGAAGGGAGAATGAGGAGGGGAGAGGAAGCCATGTTCCCGGTGATGAACGTTCACCAGGAATGACGCTGGGAACCTGCAGCTGCTCTCACGCCCTAAGCAGCATCTGGCCCCTCCCATCCTCCTGAGCCACACACGGCCTCGGCCTTGGCAGAAACCACTGATGGAGATCTGGGTACCTAAAGCCTGGCAACACGGCCAGATCCAGGCCATAGGAGACCTTCATCCTCAATCCCACTCACTCCCTCTTCTCCCTCCCTCCGCTTTATCAGTCACTCCAGGCAAGAGAGAAACAGATCCAGCAGCAGAACAAGCACATGGGAGCCCGAAGGCAGGAGGAGGAAAGAGCCTAGTAAGAAGCTGGGCCCAGGAGTCCCCCAATGCTTAGGAAAGACCCTAAGCCCTCACCACACGTGACAAGCATACCCCAGCCCCAGGGCTTAGAAAGAAGTGGTTTCTTACAAATAGCAGGGAAGACGGGGAGCCAGGCCCCAGGACTCGGGAGCAGCCAGGTATGAAGGCAGGCTGCCAGGGCCAGAAGTTTGTGCCGGGGTGTCAGGCGGGACTGGCGAGGGACCTACCTGTGCTGCTCCACAGCCTCATTGTCAGGAAGATCCACCCCACACACGCTGCACTGCTCCCCAAGGGTCCGGCTCTCCGACTTCATGCCCACAGCCAGCTCCCCCAGCTTGCTGAACAGCTCCCTCTGGATGAAGCCCTGCGGCAGCAGCCCCCCGTAGGTGCTGAAGTCCATGGAGACTGCCAGGGCGGGCTGCACGTGGAGGCCAGAGGACACCGATGACGGCATGTTCAACACAGCGTCAGCCTTGTGGTTGGGCAACACGGAGTAGATGCCCAGATGTTTCTCCGCTGTGGGTGCCGGGTGCTCTGGTCGGCCTAGGGGACCCTGGCCAGCCTCAGCAGAGGTTGGCAGCTGCTCAGCACTCTCCTCACGCCCATAGTGCAGCTCCCTAGCACTGGTAATGACACTGCTCCGAGTTGGGGTCCCGGGTCCCTCTTTGCCCCTCTCCTCAACTTTGTCCCCCATCCCGCTCGAAATGCTGGACTCCACTGTCCCAGGGCTGTCCTGGCTGGGCACCTCATCCACCTGCATCATCTCTGTCTTCACCTCAGCCACCCCGGAGTGCCGCCCACCCCCAGCCAGAGTCGGTTCCTCAGGCCCTGCAGGCGGCTGAAGAGTTCCCTGCAGGAGGGACTGTCCTATGGTCATCAAACTGTCCACTGCAGCCTTCGTGGGACTCATGGCCGACAGACCAAATGAGGTGGAGACGGACGGGCTCTGGTCCGCCGCGGGCCCAGGGAGGCTCTGCGCGGCCACACCGGCGTACCCGCTCTCCTCGCTGGAATGCTTCGAGATGAAGATGTTCTTCAGGTACCGAGCCTTGCGGTCCTCTTCTTCCTCCGCCCCACCGTCTGCCATGGTGGCCTCCGTGTCGTTGTCGTCTGTGGCCTGGATGGTCTCCAGGATCTTCAGGCACTGCTCCTCCAGGTACTCGATCTCCAAGATCTCGGCCGCGTACAGCAGGTCATCCAGGTCCTCCGCCTTGGCCTGCAGCGTGGCCGTGTACGCGTACTCCAGAATCTGCTGGAAAGTCTTTGGCGAGAGGAAGTCCAGGGTATAGTGCTGGCTGTTGCGGTGGAACAGGATCTCGAACATCTTGCTGGTGCAGGCCAGCACGGTGCGGTGGGCGTGGAACTCCTGGCTGTCCACCATGATGACCACGTCACACAGTGTCCCTGCCAGCCGCATCTGGTTGGCCTTGCACAGGAGCCCTGTGGGGTGGCTGGGGTTCTGCAGCTGGATCATGCCCATCTTCGTCAGATCCATGGTGCTCCCCGCGGCTTAGGCATGAGGCTCTCTTTCCTTCCTGGCTTTGCGTGGTGGGGCAGGGTCGGTTTCCTGGACCAGCAGAGAGGGCTAGAGGGGAGAAAGGGGGAAGGGGCAAAAGAGGTGAGAAAACAAAAGGTAAGTTAGTCAGTGTCCCTAAAAGTAAGAATTCAAACAATACAACACAGCACCCCGCCCTCATTCAGCCAGCAAGAGAAAATCCTGGAAGGGGGCCTCCTAAAAATCTAGGGGGTCTGCCTTTACAGATCGGCAAATGAGAGAAAAGACAAATTTCTGTCAAAACATACGCCCAATTCACTGTTAGATGAAGGAAAATGAAAATTTGAGTGGAGCCTTCAGAGCCTTGGTCTTTCTGTAAGTCTAAGAGTGGGGGTAGTGGCCTTTGCAAGGCCAATATGTTATGAAGAGGTGCCCAGCACTTTCTAAAAATTAGTAAGAATTGAACCCTTTCCTTTAGTAAATTTAAGCCATCAATTTCACTCTCCTGTGCAGCAAACTTCATCTTCACAACAAAGTTCTTCTAAACCCTGCTTCACTGTGGTAGCCCCAGAAGTCAAGTCAAGCCTAGCTGGGGCTAGCAGCCTGCAATCTGGCCCATGGAAATCTATGGGCAAGGGGTCTCCTCCTCCAGGCCCAGTGTCCTCTTGGACCCCCCCTTTTAGGCATTAACAAGAACACACACATAACCCACACACTAGCTGGAGTCACTTTCACCCACAGGTGCCTCAAAATTATCATAAGCATGATCCCAAATCTGAACTGTATGTGTGTGTGTGCGCAAGCACATGTGCATTCACACCAACCAGAGAGGGAGAGCGAAGGCATGGGAGCACACTTATATCAGATGCCACACTTACCCCTGCCCACAAGTGCCCAGTGGACAGGAGGCTCTATAAAATGTAGGAGGACAGGTCATGGACGACCTAAGAGAGATCATAAGAAATATGCACCCTTAAAGCCAGGAGTGTACAGCTAGGTACATGAACTCCAAGTGTGTCCCACAGGCTCCCAGGAGTGGGCAAGTCTTGTGACCGGAGCAGCAACTGATGCTGGGCATGGCTCGGAGGTGCCAGAAGTGATATTGGCACCAGCATCTATGGTGTGAGTTACAACCAGCATGAAGGAAAGACTGGGCTGGGAGACAAAGGCCTCTCCCAGAGCACGCTGTTCAGAGTCAATAACAGGGCTCTGGGGTTCCTGAATCCTTTAACGACTGTTAGAAAGACTTCACAGGCCCAGTGCCCTCCCAGTCTCTGCCTTGCTGAGGCCAATGCTGCAGTGAAATGAACTGGGAGCAAAGGGGAGCAAGGGTTCTCCCTCACTCTCCCAGCGCTACTTGCTTCTGCCCCCAGAAGTAGTCCTATGGGTTCCAGAGCCAAAATCTCATGCAGAAAGTGTTAACAGTGCCGCTAATCTAGACAGTTCCGCTGCCCACCCTGGGGTGGGGACTGAGGCCATCAAGGGTGGGACGGCCTTTCATCCTGCCTGTGCGCTTTTCCGCAGGCTACTTCGGGGTTTCTGAGAGCTAGGAGGGAGCAACGGAAAGAATGGAAGCTGGGCTGCCCGAATTCCTACCCAGAAGCAAGCTCCTTGTGTCTAAGGGAAATCAGGGTCCCCGCCGGGTCCCGCAGGCAGGATGAAA